GGTACTCTAGTATGTCTGTCAAATCCATGACTTCTATTGCCTTCGCTTACAGCTGACATTCTTTTATTTATTTATGTTTTATTGTTTTGCATGAGTCAGTTCATTGAAATATACTTATTTTAAAATCTTAAGATTCTTATAATATTTCCTGTTCTTTCAAAGTATTATAGAAAACAAAATTTAAACTTGTCTATCAGTTTGTGGTACTGTGGTGGCTTGTGTGTTGCTGTGATTCTAGAAGCTATGCCACAGGTTATTTTAAATACCAGCCAGGTCACCCATGGCGAACAAGTCTCATCTGAGCTTCCAGACAAAGACACACTAGGAAGAAGGAGAGAGAGACTATGTAAGAATATTTAGTCACTGAAATCCTTATGAATAGCAATGAAACACTGTCAGCACCAGATTATTGAATATTGATACATGATGAAGAGCACCAGAATATTGTCAGATATAGTGCTAGAAGATGAGCCCCTCATGTAAGAAGGCACTCAAAATGTGACTGGGAAATAGCTGCCTCCTCAAAGTATAGTTGACCATGATGATGCAAAGGCCCTTGGGACCTATCATTTGATTATGGGGCACAACTCAAAATGAAAATGAATAGCTGTAAACGTTCATTAAAATCATAATATTGAATTTACAAAGTACGAATCTAGGAAAATTGGTAATTGTCAAAAATGAAATGGAATGTATACAAATTGATATCCTAGGTATTAGTGAGCTGAAAGGGACAGGTATTAGTCATTTTGAATCTGACAATCACATAGTTTATTATGCTGGGAATGACAAATTGAAAAGGAATAGTGCAGCATTCATCATAAAAAAAAAAAAAATCAAGATCAGTCAAGAGAGAAAATGTTGTCTATGATAAGATAATATCTATATGCCTATAAGGCAGGTCACTTAATATAACTATTATTCAAATTTCCCCACCAAGTATTAAAGCCAGTGATGAATAATTTGAATAATTTTATCAACTTCTTCAGTCTGAAATTGATCAAACATAAAATCAAGATGTATTGATAGTTACTGGTGATTGGAAAGCAAGAGTTGGAAACAAAAAGGAAGGATCCGTAGTTGCAAAATATGGCCTTGGTGCTAGAAACGATGCTCAAGATCAGATGATAGATTTTTTTCAAGAACCATGACTTCTTCATTGCAAATACTTTTTTTCAACAACATAAAAGATGACTATACACATGAACTTCACAAGACGGGATATACAGAAATCAAATAGACACCTTTGTGAAAAGAGATGGTGGAAAAGTTCTGTATCATCAGCCAAAACAAGGCCAGGGCATACTGTGGAACAGACCATCAATTGCTTATATGCAAATTCAGGCTGAAGCTGAAGTAAAAATTTTAAAAGACCACAGGATTGAAAATATGACCTTGAATATATTCCACCTGACTTTAGAGATCATTTGAAGAACAGATTTGATATATTAGACACTAAAGACTGAAGACCAGAAGAGTTGTGTAATGACATCAAGAACATCATACAGGAAGAAAGCAAAATGTCTTTGAGAGCCAAAAAGAAGGAAAAGATGAAAATGGATGTCATAAGAGACTCTGAAACTTGCTTTCCAGTGTAGAGATGCTAAAGCAAGTAGAAGAAATGAGGAGGTAAAAAAGTTGAACAGAAAATTTCACCTTAATGGATCTTGGGTGAAAAAGGGAACTTCAGAAAGATGTTTGCTGTTGTTGTTAAGTCCCATGAAGTCAGTTCCGACTCATAATGAACTTGTATAGGGTTTCCTAGGAGTGACTGGTCGATATGAACAATCTTCCAGTTAACAGTCCAGTGCTTATTATACAGTGCCACATTATGATTCCATGGCAGAGCACACAGGAACAAAATTATGAAAATGTCTTTGCCATAACCAAACATCTTGAGGAAATCAGTCCCTGGACCTGGGACTCAGGACCATAGTCTCAGGGGACACTGAATTTAATTGACAAAACACAGTGCACAATGACAGTGCACATCCTATTTTCATGAGTATCAACTGGGATCTTAAAAATTTGTGAGTGGTCATCTAAGCTGCAATTACTGGTTTATCCCCACCCAGATCAAAGAAGACTAAAAATTGAAGATGCATGAAACAATTAATTCAATGACATGAACTGCAGCCTACAGGATACTGAGACCAGAAGAACTAGAAGATGCTCAGCTACTTTTACAAACCATTCTAAAAGGGATTTAATGGATCATGTTGTTGTTAAGTGCCTCAAATTGGTTCTGACTCTTGAGGACCCTGTATAGGGTTTTTGAGGAATAGTTGATGGGTTTTAACTGCCAACCTTGGGGTTAGAAACTCAGTGCTTATCCTGCAGTACCACACCAGGACTCCATGGTCCTGAATAGAGAGACAAAAATGTGGAATAAAACTTAAAATTATAAAATAAACAATGCAGGTTTATTGGTCACAGAGAGAATGGTAGAACCCTCCAGGCTGAGGCCATCAGTTACCCTTCAGTCTTGGAAGTGAGTTCATTTCTTGCACAATTTTCAGTCAAACAATGCACAACAAGGTGGACAGTAACACAAGGGAGGTACACATTCCTTAGAATAACCAAGCATTTGAGATCAAAAGGTCATCATTTTCCTAAGGACAAGTCTCAGAAAGCAGGAAGGATTAGCAAAAGGTAGTAATGGAAACAGGAAACAAAGGAAAGAAGTGTTTCATTGTGGGCATTCCAATTAATGACATGGATCAAAATGTATACAAGCTGATGAATGGAAAACTAAACATTCACCCAATTCACAATAAAAAATGTATGCATATATATGGAGTTCTGGTATAGCTCAGTAAGATAACCCCTGGACTGCTAAACTTTAGATTGATGGTTCAAACACACCAGCTGCTCCTCAGAAACCCTATACAGGGTTGCACAACAACAAACAATACATATATCATGTGCATATATATGTACAAATACACATATATTTATTATAATAGCATTTCTAAATCAGTAAAGAATCTATTCTTAATTTGTGCATTCCTGTTCCAAAGCTTTGCTGTAGTGAACAAGGTAAATGCTGAATATGCAAAATTGAAAGCTTTTAGAACATGAGGTAGAATCATTCTAGAACAAAATCACATTTTGAAAAAAGTCCTTGAACTTTGTCACAACCTGAGAAGGATAAGAAAGATGGGGAATAAGATAAGAGCAATATTCGGGTAAACATTGATTATCAGTTTAGAATGAGATGTGAGAAGCATTGACCATAAACAAAACTTTTGATTGAGAGGAAAAAAATGTAAAGAGAAATTTTAGAAAGGTTGCCATGGACTTTATGATGCAATACCACTGACTACCACTATTACATTATTTTCATTATCTGCTTGATGCATATGAACAGTTGTCATATTGAGACATGAAATTATGCTTAGGTCAGCCCTATATATTATGAAAGAAGAAGAGGAAGGAAAAAGAGGAGGTAAAAAGTAGTTAAGAAACCATGAGACTGGGAAGGGAAGGAGAGAGAAAAGTAGCAGCAATACCCAAACCCAAGTGTATGTGATGTGTTCTAAGATTTCAGAGCACTGCTCTTAGCATTATCTCATCTAAGGATGCAAAACCAGTTAAATAGAGAGGCAAAATTGCATAACTATTTATGTGAAGTTGTCATTAAGCATTTTTACATTTGTTAATATTTTTCTAAATACCTTCAGACTTCTAATGAAATGTTCAGGGAAAATCTAAATGATTTTTTCAAAGTTCTTCATTACTGCCTTTGTAACTTTTAGTGTCTAACATCTGGAATACAATATTCTGTAAAGAACGTTAGGATCATGCATATGTTACAGTGTATGTGTTCACATGTCCTTAGATTGAAACTGCTGTTAATGCTTGCAAGCATAGTACTTCCTGCCCTATTATTCCTACCCCTTCTTCCTTCTCACTGCTATTGTCTCTGCTCCTTTCTGTAGTTGAGTTTATATCTTTTACAGTAGTCTCAGAAGAAAGTAAAATAAAATTTTCTTTGATGATGACATAGTCATGCTTCTTTTTTGATAAAACAAAAAATAAAAAAATAAACCATACTATCCTGTTCAATGATCAAATTCAATCATCTTTATTCACATTTCTAAAAACAGAAAATTCATACTAATTGCTTAGATTAATCAAATTAGTGTTTCTAAACATCAACTTTTTACAAAAAGAAAAGAAATGTCCTGAGATAAAAGAGATGATTTCTGATTATGAGTATTTTTTCAAAGTGAAAAATTTCATATTTTAAATGGCTGTTTTGGAATCAAGACTCTCTTTGTCACATACAGGCATTATTTTTATTTTACTCTCCCTGCAAAGATATGTGACATTTTTTAGTCTGCTTTACAATTTTTGGTTTACAAATCGTTATGTCAATTAATGAGTTTCATCTAATCTACATGAAATGCATATTTTCAAGTAATTAAAATAAAGAGAGTCCTGGTGTGGTGCTGTGGGATCAATATTGGACTGCTAACCACAAGGTTAGTGGTTCAAACCCAGCAGCCACTCCTTAGAAACCTTATACACGGTTACTATAAATCAGGATTGTCTCAGTGTCACTTAACAACCACAACAACACAATATAGAGAGTTATACTATGGTTACTCCTCTTTTACTTTGCAAATAACAAGAGAGAAAGGCTAGGCATTTATCATTTCAAGTAGAAATTAATAAAATATGTTTTAGCAATTCAAACAATATATAATGAGTCCTTTGATCATTTTGATTCAAAAGTTGAAAATCAATAGCATTTGACTAAAATCATCATTAAAAATAAACAAGCTGATTCGTGCCCAGAAAATGCTTGCTCTGGTACAGTTTCAGAACACTGATTCCTCTTAGGCACACCTTGGCTGTTTTGGACTCTGAAATTCCATGCAACACCCAACATTCCATTCTCTTGTGGTTAGTCATCTGGACCACAGACATGTAGGACCTGTCTGAAAGAGACTCAGGGATCAAGCTGTACTTTACTTGTGAATCATCCTTTTAATGTAGTAACAACACAAAGGAAAGAACAGGGAGGATGTATTGGTTGTTAGGAAAACGCAGAGTACCGGTTGAAAATGACATCCTCTATTAATAAGATCTGAAGTGTGACTCAGATAATTGTCATAATTTCTTAGATTAATGTGGAGCATGAAGCATTTCTTTAAGTTAGTAACAGGCCCCAATAAATGCCTAAAGTGTCTAAAACTACATATGATTTTAGTATGTGATTTTATAAAGAAGGTGGAGATCATAACTCCCTCTATCATGTCTATATATATGTGTGTATGTGTATGTATATGTGTGTTAGTGTTTCCTAGAAAGTGTCTTGACGGAGAACCTGAGCTGGACAAAGCAGCCTTGATCTGAGTGAGCTAACTGGCACCATGAAATTATCAGGTGTCTTTCTGCTCCTCTCTCTGGCTCTTTTCTGCTTCTTCTCAGGTAAGTTTTTCCTTTGAAATTAATATCCAATATTTATACCAAGTTCGAAATGACAAGAGTTTCCATCCACCATTTTTAAAAATCCTAACAATTTTGACATAAAAGATTGATTGTGAGAGATCTTCATAAGGATAATTATGATAAATATGATGATTATAATAACAATGATTATTCATTTATTGAGCACATATTATATTCTAGGCACTGTATTAATGGCTTTCATGTATTATCTCCAATAGCCATAAGATATACACATCCCTATTTTACATTAAGGAAAAGGTAGCACAGAGAAATTAGGATACTTGCCAGAAGCTTGTAACTAGAAGTACTAACTTCAGAATTTCAGTTTTCTAGACATCCAAATGATGTTTATTTCGTAAGAAGGATTCTAGAGGATAGGTAATAACATTAAATATTAACTTATATTTACATGGAAAACAATTTTTTTTTAGTTATTCTTATACACCTGAGTTCAAAATATTGAAATGGGATCAATCAAGAGTTAAACAGGCAAATCAATTAGAAAGTCGTTCAGGAGTTATTGAACACAACAATGCATAAACATACATGATACTGGTGAATTAAACAACGTTCTGAGTGTATAAATATCTCTGTATAGCTTCATGAACAATCATCAGATAGTCTATACATTAAGATGGTTCAGATGACAATCATACTGCACTTTGATGATATTTTTTTAGCTAAAGTAGTACTATCTGAATGGATTGTTGCTATTAAATACCATAGAGTTGGTTACAATTCATAACGACCTTATATAGGGTTTATGAGCAACAGTTGATGGGTTTGAACCACTGACCTTGTGATTAGCAGTCCAGGATTTATCCTACAACACCACATAGGGTGATTGTATTTCTTTCATTTTTCATCTTTTATTTCTATAGTGTTGTCATTGAGAAAGACCATGATAGGATCTCTAGACCCAAGATCTAGTCTTTATTCTTCCATTAATGGCCTGTGGAAACTTTTGGAAAAATATCTTTGCTTTCTGAGATTTTCTATAAATTTGTAAAATGTTAAAATGAGACTAAGCCTTGAGATCTTCCATGTGCTACAAACCATTTCTGTGACAACAGAAGATTAAATTTACTGCTATCTGAATATTTAAAGGATTGAATTTGTAAATATTTTTCAGTAAGACTGAACATATAGAGAAGTTATTGTTAGCTGGAACCTGGTTGTCTTTACATAAAAGTACATTTGCTGTTGTTAAGTGCCATTGAGTCAGTTCCAAACCATAGCAATCCCACATATGATTGCCAAGGAGCAGCTGGTGGAATGTAAAAACAAGCTCAAAGTTTCCTTTATTATTATAGTCTAAGTTTGATTACTAAATCCAAATAAATTGACTGGGTAGTTTGGTCTGTTGTTCATATGGCAGAAACAATAAATCTGAACATATTAAAATGTCATTACAACGTTAACATAAAAAATTATTATCTCCTTATTATTACACTTTACAAAGGTAAACTAATTTTTCCAGTTGAATCCAGCTGATAAATACACTTAGCTTCTGAAATTGTAGAGTCCTAAGAACACTTGGAGAATTAGGATGACATAGTGTCTAAGAACCACAATATTGAGACAGAGATGAATACATCTAAGTGTAGCCATTTCCATTTTGTAGCTGTGTAACTTTTCTAAATTCTTTTTTTTTTTTCATCTGTAAAATGGAATATAAAAGAACTAACCCCCTATGAGGAATTACATGAGAATGCATGTGAATCACTTAGGATAGTAAGTGTTCAATAAATACCTAGACATAGTAACTGTTCAGTGCTGTTGTTGTTACGTGCCGTCATGTTGGTTCCAACTTATATTGACCCTGTATGGGGTTTTCAAGGAGCTGCTGGTGAGATTGAACGACTGACACTGTGGTTCAAGTTAACCTTGCAGTCCAGCTCATAACCCACAACACCACTTGGACTCCTGTTCAACAAATGCCTACTAATAATATTATCATCATTATTATGTTCAAGTTTAATTAAAAGGGCACTATATTGATTTCAGGCCTTCTGGATATTAATCCTGCTTTAGTAGACTTGCCATTTTTTGTACATAAGATGTTGAATAAATAATTTCACTTCTGATCACAGTTTAGCATAGTGGAGACATTTTTTGAAAGTTGTTATAACAAATTTTCTCTGATCATAAAAATTCCTTGTGATGATGACAAAAACATAAACTTCCAGGTGTTGTTTAATTTTATATAATTAATTTGTAAAGGATATTGCTCTAAGAATCTATACTTCTAAATAATCATCATACTGCTACTTATGTGTCCGTCAGATTGGGAATCATTGCAATAGATCAACACTAACCTCCATTCACATTTAAAAGCTTTAATCTCTCCTAATTTCCATAGTAAAGAATGTACTTTGAAGTATTCAATTTGTTCTCCCACATGTGCAAGCCATTGTTGGAGAAGGACAGCACTTATCCAAAGACTTTCTCTCTTGTTCTTGCATGTGAGAGATGTTACTTGAACAGTAGTGCAGCGATCAAAGATCAGCAACCCAAGACTGGACCTAGGAGTTTTATTATTTCACTATTTTAAACCACTGAGCAAATTCACCACAACCATAATCACATGCTCATACGTAAAGAGGGAGAAAAAAAGAGAAAGACAATATAGTATATATGAATTATTTTTCTCTTTTAAAACTTTGGAGGGGTGTATGAAGAGAAATGAATTTTAGGAATATGAGTTGGTCCATGCCAAACTATATTAAGGCCAAGTCTTTAAAGCAGAGTATAATAGGCAGAAGAATAATTTTGGGTTCAAAAATAAACAATAAAATTAATCCCTTCCCCAAAAAACTGTTAACAAAGGCTTTGGGGAGGAATGAATGGACTGAATGCTAGAATATCAAAGACAGATGTGACTTTCCAATGCAACTTCTCCAAAGTGAGAGGAGAGGTGATAAAATCATTCTCATAGAAAATTGGTAACAATGTCAGGACTGTAACATTAATCTCTAGATCCTTAATCAATTTTCAGCCAACCCATCTTGACCCCCACTACATGTTGTCCTCTCAAGTTCCATCACTTACAAAAGGAGCTCTGGTGGCGTAGTGGTTATGAGTCGGGATGTTAGCCTACCAACCATTCTGCAGGAGAAAAATTAGGCTTTGTGCTATCATAAAGATTTACAATCTTGAAAACCCTATATATGGTGGCTGTAAGTCAGAACTGACTCCATGGCACATAACTACCACCAAATCTCTAACAAAGCTTTTGTGTTTCCTTCAGTAAGCAGGTGTAAAAAATATCTTGTAATCATACCAGGTTATTGTTGTCATTATGTGTCTTCTAGTCAGCTATGAATTGCTGAAGTAGCCATGAGTCTGAAACATTAACAAACCAATCCAAGTTTGGGGATTTCTGAGTTTCATAAATTACACTTTTTGCATATTCAGAAACTACAGTTTTTTTTATTTTGTGACTTTTCCTTTTTTCAGGTGTCTTCAGTCAAGGAGGACAGGTAAGTGCCAGTTTTTATCTGGTCTTCAGACCTGGGTGGTACTTGATTGGCATTCCATGACCAAAAAGTATACCTATATACTTATAAATAGGTATAAGAGTAAAAGCTAAGTACAAACAGGCCAAATACTGAAATAAGCTAAAGCAATATGCTTTTGAACTGCAATCTCTTCGAGTATACTATTTTCATTTGTTGTTGTTGTTGTTAGGTGCCATCGAGTAGGTACTGATCCATAGCGACCTTATGCACAGCAGAACGAAACACTACCCGATCCTGGACCAACCTCACTACTGTTGCCACACTTGAGTCCATTGATGCTGCCATTTGGCCAATCCATCTCGTTAGGGGTCTTCCTCTATTTTCATTTAGCATCATTTAAATTCTAAGCAACAACAAAGATGAAATAAAAGAAGGTAGAGAATAAACACTCATTTTTCACATTTTAAAAAGTATAATTACTGTATAAATAAAAGAGGTCATACTCTACCACTGATTGCACTGTAAGATCTTGGATAATTTACTTGAACTACAATTTCCACAATTATACGAAAAGTAACTGCAATGAAATTAAGTTTACACAAACAATTTGGAAGGTTTTGTTGTTGTGTTGTTAAGTGCCATTGAGTTAATTCTGACTCAAAACAACCCTGTATAGGGCATCTTAGGAGCAGCTGGTGGGTTTAAAACATTGACCTTGCATTTCAAACTGACCTTGTGGTCCAGTACTTATCCTACAGCACCACACCAGGACTTCATATGGAAGATCTTGATATTGATTACTTAACATCATCCAAAGGAGTTAGAGCAAGCACTACTTCTTTTTTAGAAGTCAATTAAAAGCAGATAGAAGCGCATTAATGTTCTTTCTTGAGGATAAACATTCAAGCTTACTAAAATTTAACACAAATTTCAGTTAAACACATTGATAAATCAAAATTGCCTTTATTGTTTGACTAATTTTGTATCTAGTATATTCACCAAAGTCTTTCCAAATTTAGTCAAAAAAAGAATTGGCTTTTGCTCTGCCAATTCTGCAGCCAGACTCATGCTGAACTCTTGTATTTGCCTTGGCACTAATTCTTGTTTAGCATTGGTGTGCCCAAAATTGGCACATAAAATATCTATATACTATTTTCAATTCATTGACAATGACAATGGATGTGAAAAATACTTCTACACTGTTATAACCCACTCTATAGCAAAAACATGTGTTTTTATTTTTAGCATCTCAGAAATGGATTGCATCTTTCAATTGGTAATTGAAATTACTTACAATAAACTGTCAGTGTGTATGTGCATGTATGTACGTATGTGTGTTTACTGTCTATATGCAAGACTCAGGTGTATTTGTATTAGCATATAAAATGAATTTCCTCTTGTATTTATGGAAGTATCATAGCACAGTACATATTGAGTAGTAAAAAGAAGAGAAAAAAAACAAAAACAAAGAAAGGGCACAGAATCCAACCATACTACTTTGGGTTTTAAAACATGTTGATACACCATTGTGGCAGTATGGTGGCTCTGTAGAATAGGCAATGGACTGAGAACCATAAACTTGGTGGTTTGAGCCCACCAGCCAGAGAAAGATGAGGCTCTCTGCTTCTGCAAAGATTTACAACTTTGGAAATGCCATACAGGTTCCCTATGAGTCAGAACATGCTTGACAGAACTTAACAACAAGCACATAGATTTTAAAGACAGAGAGTTTTCTCAATAACACAAATGTAACTTCTCATATTTGAACCTTTAGTTTCAGATTTTTATAGTATTTTCTGAAGTTAATTTACATCTATTAGTCACTGATTCTATAATTTTACTTGGGCTCCAGTTTTATAATGCATAGCCTGCTTGCTTCAGTAGCACCTGAAATATTTACTAAAGGTGTGTGTCCCCAGGTCACCACACTAGAATTTTTGAGCAAACAAGTTAAAGACAATAAAATCTGAACAATTTTCTAAGGTAATTAGAAGCAAGTTGTACTGGGAAGAAACTGACTTTACAGTCAGATTACATAGATGAGTCCTAATTCAAACAATTACTAGTATGTGACTTGGGGAATATCTCTTCCCTTCTCTGTGCCTTTGTTTCTACATTTGTAAGATGAAGGTTTGTATTCCATGATCTCCAAAGGCCCTTTTTGCCTTATGAGTCTAATTCATTATGAAACCAAATCTTTACTGCCAATGCTGCTATGTCTTCTCCACTCAAATCTTAAGGGCAGCAAGGTTGCCACAGTATCATATTTCTTTCCTGAGTGGTTGGACGTGGCACTACCAGTGATAGGAAAAGTGAGAAGTTGAAACTAAACTTGGGAGCATAACTGATCAACTTTGATCCAGCCAAGACAAAGGGGGAAATTAATACCTCTGAAACTCAAGTCACATTTCTCATTCCAAGAAATTACTTCATGATGAAACATCTGATGAGAGATTATATAAGCAACATTAATTAAATATTTTTGAATAACAATTTCTTTAAGAAATCTTTTCAGGCTATCCAAAAGCATCTATCCAGACTTTTGACTTTAATGATCCAGTAAAAATTTCCCAATAAATGTGAATGACTAATACCTGACTGAATCTTTAATTTGCCAAGTAAGAACATTAGTATAACAACAATTAAAAAAATTAAAATTAGTACTTACCATCAATCCACCACTCACCTGTCACTTTATGGTACTGTGGTGACATGTATACTGCTATAATGCAGGAAGCTATGCCACCAGTATTTTAACTACCAAAAGGCTCATACATGGTGAACAGGGTTCAACCGAGCTTACAGATTAAGACAGAGTAGGGAGAAGGGGAGACAGAGCACTTCTGAATGGTTAGCCACTGAAAACCTTATGAAGGAATATCAGAGTCAATATGTCAAATTCAATGCTCAACCATTTCAATTACTAAAGTACTGAAGAAAGAAATCCAAGCAGCGCGCAAAGCACTGGCAAAAAACAAAGTTCCAGAAATTGTACCAAATGAAATGTTTCAACAAACTAATGAAGTGCTGGAGGGACTCACTCATCTAGGCCAAAAATTTGAAAGACACCTGGCAACCAATTGGAAAAGATCCATATTTGTGGCCATTTCAAAGAAAGGTGACCCAATGTAATACAGAAATGATCGAACAATGTCATTAATATCACATACAAATAAAATTTTGCTTAAGATAATTTAAAAGCTATTATAGCAGTATATTGACAAGAATCTACTAAAAGGTTAATCCATATTCAGAAGACTAGGTGTACTAATAATGCCACTGTTGACATCAGATGGATCTAGGCTAAAAGCAGAAAAATACCAGAACAATGTTTGCTTGGGCTTTATTGATTATACAAAAGTATTTGGCTATGTGAATCATAATAAACTATGGATAACATTGTAAATAATGGCTATTCCCAAACACATAATTATGCTCATGAGGAACCAGTGTATATACCAAAAGGATTTTATTTGAACAGGGGCTATTAAATGGATCAAAATCAGAGAAGGTGTGGATCAGGTTTGTATCCTTTCGCAATACTTATTCAATTTGTGTATTGACCAAATCACTAGAGAAGGTAGATTATATGAAGAAGCTCAGGTAACAAAGTGCTTACAAGTTGGGCTGCTAACCTCAAGGTCAGCAGTTCGAAACTACCAGCCATTCCACAGGAGAAAGATGAGACTTTCTGCTCCTGTAAATATTTACAGCCTTGAAAACCGTATACAGGGTCACTATGAATTATAACCGACTCCACGGCACAGCACCACCACCACCAGGTCACATGATGAAGAACATGGCATCAGGATTGTAGGAAGATTCATTAACATCTGAGAGATATAGATAACACAGTCCTGTTTACTGGAAGTGAAGAGGACACAAAATACTGACTCATAAGGATCAAAGACTACAGCCTTCGGTATGCATTACACCTCAATGTAAAGAAAACAAAAATCCTCACCACTAGACAAGTAAATAGCATCAGGATAAATGGAGACAAGATTGAAGTTGTTAAAGACTTCATTTTGCCTATATTTACAATCAGCACTCATGGAAGTAGCTGTTGAGAAATCAAATGATGTACTACAATAGGCAAATCTGCTGCACAAGACCTCTTTAAAGTGTTCAAAAGAAAAGTTGTCATTTTGAGGACTAAGGTGTGCCTGGCCCAAATCATGCTATTTTCAATAGCCTCATATGCATGTGAAAGTTGGACAGTGAGTAATGAAAACCAGAAAAGAATAGATTCATTTGAATTATTATGTGGAGAAAATATTTAAAATACCATGGACTCCCAGAAGAACAAGCAAAACATTTTTGGAAAAAAGTATAGCCATAATGCTCCTTAGAAATAAGGAAAGCAAGACTTCTCACAGTCTTTGGACCTATTGTCAGAATGGATCAGTTCCTCGAGAAGGCAATCATGCTTGGTAAACTGGAGGGTCAGCAAAAGAGGAAGGCCCTCAATGAGAGTGATTGACACAGTGACAGCACCCATGGGCTCAAACAGAACAATTGTGAGGATGGCTCAGCATAGGGCAGTGTTTGGTTCTTTTGTCAATAGAGTTGCTATGAGTTGAAACTGACTAGAAAGCACCTGACAACAACCTCAATAACAATCCATTTTAAATATTGTATTATAACATCAAAATAGTTAAAATATAGAATTTCTGAATAAGGTTAGGCCATTAAACTGAGAAAATTTGGCTTTTTAAAATCACTCACTACAGTGCTTATGCTTTTTTTTTTTCTATATCGCTATACATTCTGTATTTGGGAAGCATAGTCTTAAATTAAAAAATAAATGAATAGTTTGATTTGTAATGTTAACCTCTCAAAAGCAACGATTGACAACGACTTTGCATTACAATATTTTTCAAGATATGTTTCTGTTTGTGCATTTTATGCAAAAAGTGTGATGAATTTCAGTTATTAAAACAAGGCTATATGAAAAGTGTGAATTTTAGAACAATCTTGATTTTACTTATAACGAAGACACAAACAGAACAGATAAAGAA